ACATATATATATATATATATACATATATACATATATACATATATGTGATATATGTACATATGTACCGTGTGTATAAAAATGAATTATAAATTATGTATTAATTCTCTAGATTCAAAAAACAGATTTTGGGTGCCCTTTCTCATTGGCATGTTTTTCATCTATGATATGTTTCATCACAGTTTTGTGCATAATACAAATATAATAATGCAATTATCATTATACAAAACAATGATGCATTAGATATTTTTACAACAGCGTCACATGCTAAACTAAATGAAAAATGTATGAGATAAGAATGTAGCGCTATATCTTACTAAAAGCAGTTTAGTAAGGTATAGTCATGTTTCGTGAAGTTCTCAAACAAAAGAGTCAGTTCGATCGAAACATTTTAAGCTTACATAAACCCGTCGAATGAACTCTTTCCTTAAATAAATATGCTCTTAAATTAAAGCTAATGTACACGATTTTAATTGTCATTGTTAAAATCCGATCACTGTCTGATTCGCACGCGAAACGCTATTACATTACTCTATTATATTAATATCTAATAAATTATTTACATTTTGTTAACGCACTCGGTGACATTAACTCTTAATAAGCAACAATAATCTTTTTGCTGCATAGATTGCGCAGCAATCATGTTTTACCGATTACGTTACGGAAACTCCGAACGAAAGTGTCATAATCTCGAAAAAATATACGTGATTAATTTTAAAGCATTAATTATGTTCGCGATTAACCAATATATTCTAATGGAATTATTCAAATAAATAAAATATATATTAATTTACAAGGTGGGCCTAAATAATTGAAAGGAGTTTATAAGCTAAAGACTTTTTCTTTGTTTTGTAAACTCGAGGGCTCAAAAAAATTTATTATATTATTTTAATTTATTTTTCACTATAGACTCACTCCTCAGTTATAATATGTACTTGATTCCATTCTGTTTTACTATTTTTATTTGTTATCCCAAATTGAAGATTTAACACCTAAGTAAAAATATATGTCAATATATAGCAATATTATCTTTTTGTCATTTTTATATTTTTCATAAATTATAACAATTTTTATTTAACACTTGCGTTCAGAATTATACACACATATATACAAACTCTCTACTTCTTTTCTAGGACAACAAGGTCCAATAATACATTTTAGAATACTAGATTTTCATCATTTTGTCTAGCTGATGTCTGCCCCTTACGAATGAGCGAATTTTATATTTATATGTATTTTTCGCTCGCAATACTAAATCCTATTATTAAATAGATATGGAATTAATTGACTGTGCAGTTTGTTATGATACTTATTGTAAAATGAAATTGAAAACTTCCAAATGTAAATGTAAATTGATTTCCTGTCATATATTGCTTCGTTTACTACGAGATTCTCGGTACTACTCGTTTTATATTTTAATAAAAAAATTTATATGAAGATCATAGAATAATTATCGTAACTTTTGGAAGATTTCATCTTTCACAAATACTTGTGCATGCTTTTATCATGTGCATCCTATATACTATAATTCAAATAAGAAAGCTGAATTTCAATGAATTAAACAAACTTAGTGATTTAATTTGATAAAGATTTGAATCAATAAGAACTTTGATAAGTGTATTTGTGCGTAAGTAGAATAATTGAAATATTCATTAGAAAAAGATAATAATTCTCATACATTTAAACAAGTAATAAATAAATATTTATATATGTATAAATACAAAATGTGTCAAAAGCCTGGAGACTTGATTTAAAAGCCAATGTAATTATTTATTTTCAGAAATCGTTATCCAAATTTATGTCCAAAAAGAGATATGTAAGATATATGTATGAGATATATAAGATATGCAAGACTTCTAATTGTAAGGCCATTTAAATATTAGTATAACACGAAACAATTTCGCTTCGTATATACAGCTCATGTATTAATGCTATAAAACTCATTAGATCTCATTGAATTTCTATAAGATTTATTGGATTTTCCAAAGTTTCTTTTTAATGTTTTATAAAAAATAAATATAATTTTCTCTCTTCTTTTATCAAAATTTATAGAGTATTATCTATTATGGAAATTTAGAATTGTCGAAATGTGTATCAGAAGCGTGATAGAAACGCTTAAGCTAAAGCTGTATTAATCGTACCGATCACTCGACAGCGAAGCCACAAGTTTCTTCTACTGCTTGCGTAAGTTTATCAAGCATCTTTTGATAAGTCGGATAATTCTGTGGTATGTCTATTCTATTAAAACATGTATGCGCTTTGGGTAGATTTTCGCTCGGAGCATCAACGGCATGGATCGTGAAAAGTCGTGGACCCGCAGCTCCTGTCGATCCTATATAATCAAATATGATACATGACATTATTTACATATTATATTTTTAATGTAATCTGTCTAAATATAAAATAAGCATTTACCTTGTAGTGCCTTGAATCCTTGTAAGGGAACTCTCGAGCTGCCAGTAACGAATTGAAGCAATCTCGCCCTCATTTCTTCACCATACGATTCCACTATCTGCCAAAACCATTGCACAACCGGTGTATCGGGTGTACAATGTTTGAGCCGAGTATGCATCTTCCAATCATTTATATCGATAGTACCCAAACCGCCAATAACTAATTCCAATTCACGCTCATCGAACGGTCTTAGTAAGAGGGGAGGTATCAATTCGTGAAATCCTTTCTGCAGCGCTAAGAATTGTTGTTCGATTCCACGCATGAATCGATAGTTTACGTATAAACGAACGTATTCTCTCTTATTCTCTTCCGTCACCAGAATGTCTTTACCACCTGGCTTTAGCTCGTGATTTTTCAATACTCCGAAACTACTGTGTTCTACAGAAAACGTGGCGTCCAACACGCCGTCTATGCTATTTTCCCTGATAATGTAAAATATAGTAAATTAAAAATTTTTTTTTATTATCTTCAGAAACATTGATAAAATTTTTGTAAGTAAACATGTTACTTACAACATCCACGTGAGACTTCTGTGTAATTCTGGATCAACTCCTTCTATATCGCTCAATGTTATAGCTTTATTGAGCAACATTTTATAAAACGGAGTCGTGAAACCGCCATCAATGTGATGACCGTGAAAAACAGCGATACCTATAATTCTGCCGGCAAAGTGAAAGTACGATAGGTGTTCTGGATTTATTCCTGAATCCGGATTAATTTGAAGAGTATAATTGTCATCTCTCGAATATTGAAAGAGTCCATATTGTGGATTCAGCATTTCATGAGACAATAAATATAACCATTCGCGTGCCACGCCGCCATAATCAAGACCTTCTTCACCGCGGAATTTTACCATAAGCCTTTTGCGCATATCTTTTGGGCGCATTTTCATAATCAGCCTATACGATTCCTGTAAGAACGAGAAATATTATTCATAAACTAAATATTCCCGTAAAACAAGATGTTTTTCTTTCATGTTAATGATATTCAAAATATTTTTGGATACAAATATGTAGATGTTTAACGTTTGCGTACTTCGAATATTTCATTTCTCGACACCTCCAATCTACAATGCCCACTCTGAGGCTGAAGAGCATTCAATTCCGCTCGAAGGCATTTCAACTTTGCCACTAAATCACGTTTATATTTCGGAAGAAGCTCATTGTCCATAAGCTCCTTCGGCAATTCCGACACTGTTTGAGCATTTTGAGACGGAGCGCTTTCCACTGAAATGCAAAGAAACGCTTGTTACACCGATCGCACTATCCACATATACTCACGGAATTAAAAATCCCGATGTTTACGATAATGCGCCCTGATGAACAAGACTCTTCCAAAATGAAATGGCATTTTGCCCGAATGACAAAATAACCGAGACTGGGTCAGATTCACGGTTATTGCATAGATAACTACGCTCGCAGATAAGATAAAATTGTGAAACGTACATAAATGTTCTTTTGTTTTGTTTTTGCGTGGAAATGAGTAGATTATGCGATCCATATTGTGCAAAAATTATCAAAATACATAAGACTTACGTAAGTCAAGGATGTACGCGCTTCGGTTATTCTACATTGTAAAATCTATTTTTCTTTTCTAAAGAAAATACGTTTGAAAAGAAATTTTGTGTTTACTCACTCGTTGGAGAATTGTTGTTACTTCCGTTTTCATTTCTCGTTGATTGCTGCGGCGTGGTAGGCTGAACTATCGATGAATTCGTTGTATCCGCCTCGGCGGTTTCGCTCGTTACCGAATTGTTTGCATTATTCGCCGTTTGATTGTTCATGTTGTTATTTTGCCTCCTACTATCGATAAAATAATAATTTTACATTTTTACGTAATCTCATTTATATATTTTTATTTTATTATTTTTCCGTGCTTACTTCAATAGATTGCTTATTATTTGACTGGACAGCCTGGGATCGGTGAATTGCGTTGTCCTGTTATTGTGATCTACGAAATATACTCGTCCACTTTGGGTCTGTCTCATTTCCCAACCGCTAGGAAGAGGTCCAAGCTCATTCGCCAATTCGTTAGCTTGCAAGTCACGCGGAATCCTCGGGTCATGCCAGGTAGAAGATCCAGTTGGTATGTGATAGAAATATACTTGACCTTGTTGAGTTTTCCTCATTTCTACAAGAGTAGATAGAAGCGTTTTATTATATATGTGCATTGTTTTATTTAAAAAATTTATATAAAAGTTTATATAAGAAATAAAAAAAGTCTTCATTTGTACCGTAACCACGGGGTAAGTCTGGCGGTTGTGGCGGATCAGTTCGTCTATCATGACTCAACATGACGCTATTTCTGTTCCTGTTATTGCGATTGGGCCTTCGAATTTGACCTCCATTGTTAAGACCACGTTCTACTCTTCCGTTCACGTTTTGATTGCCATTTTGTTCATCGGTGCCTCTGACGGCGCGTCGCTCCCTCGCGGAGGGTGCCGGCGTCGTCACATTTCTTATATTGTGCTGATTACGATTCTGCTGTTGCTGCTGCGTCGGAGTGTTTCTTGGGGTATTTTGCGCCGAACCGTCTCGACTGGGTGTTTGATTGAGTGTCTCGGCCCCGCTATTCCATTCGGGTGACGCATGTCTTGCAGGACTTTCCTCGTTTCTTACATTCGGTGAACTGGCGCTACTAGGAGATGTAGGCTCTGACAACGGTGGTGGTTCCGGAGTTATTGATATAATAGCATTGTTAGGCCTGTCAACGATATCACTCGAATAAATTTATATCGTATGTATCACACTTTGATAGTAGATGTCGAATATTACCGAGCGTTTGGACGAATCCATTGCGTACTCTTCGTGTGATGATTTACGTAATAAAGTCGACCACTTTCCGTTCTTCTTTCCTCCCAACCATCAGGCAAATCATTTGGACAACTCAAATCTCCAAGTACGTCAACCACGGCATTATGACCGACCGTATTGCTAACGGCACCGTTGTGACCATCTCGCGACATCAGAGATACTACAATTTGTCCTTTCACAACGTCCGTGTCATCGGAATGAGCCTTGCATAAGTCCAAACGTTGATCTAAGAAAATATATATCGTAAACTAATCCTTGAAAACATAATTTAATAATAATATATAAAATAATATTTTATTTTTATTTTATTTTTAAAATTAAAAAATATATATTTCTTATCTATATCTGTAATAGATTTTATATTTAGAGAGAGAGACAATTTTAATTTATTTTGAACCATTTAAAATCAAGTGTTTCTTTAAATTTT